TTCGTAACGTGCCAAGTCTCTGAGCCATATAGAATCACTGACTTGACTGAATTGGTGTCCAAAATCCGGATGTTGTTCACGCTTTGTGCTGAGTGCAATGCAGAAGATCTCTACAGTGATTTCAGATTAATGAAGGCCTGTCTTGCTGTGTTTCCGATCGTGGTTGTCTTTGACATCCTCGTCTGTGCCCGTATCGCCTGTAGTTGAAACGCTGCTGCCGTTTCAACTCGCCTGGTTAACTAGTTCACTGCTTACTAGACAGTCCTAAGCCCGAGTAAAGAGGGAAGGTTGGGCATAGGGCTAGCAACCGTACCCCGTAATACCAGTCCAACCACTACAGAAACTTCCAAGCACGGTACAGTGCAAATAGATATCATTATTAGAAATTTTTTGATTCCAGAGGAGTTTATTTCACATTCCTGACTTGCTGTTACCCTTAACATGCCACTACTATTCGCTTCTATTGGATTTCTTTACAGTTTTTTCTATTATCAGAAAATTTATGCCATCCAAACGGAAGAATTATTGCGTAATTAGGAATGTGTACCAAACAGGCGGAATGAAGAGTACCAAAGTTTGTTGTACGACAGACAGACGAATCGATGTAGAATCTTGTAGGCATTACTATTTGTTGATATACTTGTAATTCTTGTTTGTTAAACTGAATCCAATTGATCGAACTCTGTTAGCGTATGGGTTCCTGTGAGGACGCCTCGATATTGACTAACTATTTACCATACGTCAGTAGCCGATTGGATAACTCTTTGGGGTTTGAAGCGACGGATACGAGGTTCTTGTCTCAGTAAGAAAAATATCACGCAAAAGAATTCAGGACGGGAACAACACCACTCACTGAGGTGCATGCACATCCATCTGACGAGTTCCAAGTAGAAAGAAATGCACGTCCTGGATTCCACTACTAGCTACCATTAACTTCGATGATAGTTAACAGATTATTTCATTCAAACTGCCAATTCGGTACCATAGCATTCATTACTTTACACTGGCTGACTACCTTCGAATCAGTCAATAAAGTAGGTTTATCACTTTTATCTGCCTGTATCCTGTATTCTTCTTTGTATTTCATTGCTTCATGACACTTGTGTAACAGACCACATCTCATGGTCTTCGTTTAGATTGATACCATAGTTAGATAGTTGCAAAACTACTCATCTGTAGGAAATATCAGCGTGAAGTAAGGAATTTGTAACTATTTAGCAAAACGATCATTCTAAGTAACAAGTCATTTCAAGAAGCCTACAGAAAAGCACAGAAAGCATAAAAAGGATAGAAGGGATGGATAAAAGACCTTTTCAGATTCTTGGTTTGAGAGATTAAGATTCATTTGACAGGAAGCTGTGCTTCACCTAGGTTTCCTATTTGTCGTAACTCATCGGTAAGACTTGTCTACAACGATGAAAATGTTGATCTTCCCTTGGTGATTGAAACTGAATAGTAGTTAAAAGAATTTTATGGTTCAAAAATGAAGCAATCAATAAAAAAACTTTAAAAAACAAAAATCTTGTGTGTCTTGATGTTTCAAGTTCATTGAATCGAATGGAGCATATAATTGTGAACAACATAAATAAATACCTTGTGTTCTGTTATATTACTTCTACAATAGTTCTGTTACGCATTAAGTCTCGAATTACAAGAAACCTTATCATGTGAGTAAAATTGTTGAGTTTTTTTTGGTAATAATCGGTCTCGACTGTCACTAGAAATGTGAATAGCTTTTCCGGTTTAATTTTAATACAGATCATTTGTTTGCTTTTATTGATTAATCATACATGAAAATAGGTTGTAACTATTGGTTGGTATACTTTTCATTCTCCGCTGTTATACTGGATCGAATCATTCGACCTGAGTTGGCTGATGGGATGCAATACGGATACCCCCCATATTGTATTATTACTATTATTATTATTATTTGTCCATTGGGTTCTTAGTCGAACATACAGCTTCAGTAACACGTCCCCATTACACTCTCTTCTCTACAATCTTTTCAACCTGTCTCCACGACTCACCACAACCTCTCTCCTCACACCATCTCCTCAACGTCACCCTCATCTCGGACACCCAACTCATCGTTTCCTATTCAGGTTACACTCGAGTGCCTGGCCTGGTGCGTGATGTCCCCGAATGCTTATCTCAATGCATGCCCAATCCATCTACACTTCCACTTTCTTCTGCATATTTCTTCAGTGATAGCTTCTTGGTTTTTTCGTTGTCAGCCAACCAGAGTTGCTTGTTGCTTATCCCTTCTAGCCTTGCGATCTGAGCTTCGGTAACGAGCCAGTGTAGTCACTTGTTGATGGATGTCTGTAGTTTGTTGGAAATCCCTTTCGTAACGTGCCAAGTCTCTGAGCCATATAGAATCACTGACTTGACTGAATTGGTGTTGAAAATCCGGATGTTGTTCCCACTTTATGTTGAGTGCAGTGCAGAAGATTTCTACAGTGATTTCAGATTAATGAAGGAAGGCCTGTCTTGCTGTGTTTCCGATCGTGGTTGTCTTTGACGTCCTCGTCTGTGCCCGTATCGCCTGTAGTTGAATCGCTGCTGCAAAGATAGGTGAGAGAGGCTACTTCCTTTAGGTTTCGGCCATTGATGGTGACCGGAACTTGTTGTTGTTGTTGTTGGTGGTGGTGGTTGGGTATCTCCATCACCTCCGTCTTCTCTACATTCACTTGAAATCCTGTCATCGTTGCCCTGTCACTTCTGTCAACTTGTTAGTTTTCGCCTGTGGATCTTCAAGTTTGTGCGACATCAGACGCAAGTCATCGGCGAAATCCAAGTCTTCTAGGTTCTTTTCCCGGTCCATCCAGCGAATCCCCTTCTCTCCGATCCTTGCTGTTTGTTGCATGATTCAGTCCATCACAATCAGGAAGATCATCGGTGATATTAGGCAGCCTGGTCTCACTCCTGTCTTCACTTCACTTCAGAAGCATGAATGAGCTTTCCACTGTCAATTACTTGGCATGTGGTGTCTTCATATAGTTGTTGCACGAGGTTGATAAATGTTTGTAGTATTCCATGGTGTTGAAGCAGTTTCCAAATTACTTTTCGGTTTGACGCTGTCAAAGGCCTTTTCAAAGTCGATAATGTTGAGGTAGAGGGTTGACTGCCATTCTATACTCTGTTCTATGATGATGCGTAGTGTAGCGTTGATATTTGGTCCACACATAATTTGTACTTCCTGAAGCCAGCAAGCCTGTTCGGTTGTTATTTTTTAATCCAGCTCATCCTTTATTCTCTGCAGGATAATGTGGTATAATATTTTGCTTGCTTTGGGTGGACAGGAGAGTGATTCCGCATCAGTTCCTGCAAAGGCTTAGGTCGCCCTTCTTCGGGAGTTTGACAAAATAACCCTTCTTACAATCGACCAGCAGGTACCTTCCCTTCCTTCCACACCTTCTGCATGAGTGGTTTGAGCATGTCAGCTGTTGTCTCTGCGTCTGCTCTCAGTGCTTCTTGCGCTATTCCATCTGGTCCTGCTGCTTTCCCACATCTCAGTAGCTTCATGGCGTTCAGGAATTTGACTTTTGTTGGAGGATTTATGTTTACTTGTAGTTCTGTGACTGGGCTACAGGTGGTATTTCTGGACGAAGTGCAGGTGGTGGTGGTGGTGGTGGTCGATTCAAGAGCTTCTTGAAGTGGTCAGCCCTTCGTTTCCTTTGTCTCTCTTCTCTCGTAATTAAATTCCCCTCATCATCTTTCATTGGTTTCCTCTGTATTGATCTCTCGCCTCCCAGATAGACTGTAACCCGATTATTTGATACAATGTTGTCAGATCTCTGATTCTCTTACATGCAGCCTGTTCTGTTCTGCTTCACTTGCAAGTGTGTTGTGGAAGTGTCTTTTAGCCTTGCGTGCACTCTTCTCCACTTCTCTGTCCAGTGTACTGGTTTATACATTGTACTCAGTTCCTCCTCTCGTTGTGCATCCCTGCCTGCACTGGTTTATCTTCTGCTTCAACATCCTCCTCTCCTCTATCAGCTTCCATGTGTCCATTGAGATGCATTGCATTTCTCATCTTGTTCCTTCCTAATACGGTTGTGCAGGTTTGTTTCTACATCTCTTTCAAAGATTTCCAGTGTTCTTCAACACAGGTTTTTTCAGGGATGTTCCTCGATATCTCCCGTTTTGTCGTGATGGCTGACGTGAAGATGTCCCTTGTAGTTTTGTCCTTCAGTATCTGGGTGTTGAACTTGAACTGTGGTCTATCACCAACTTCTTTCAAGGCTTTCAACTTGATTTGGAAAGTTCCTTGCACTAGACAGTGGTCTGAACCCGCATCTGAAAGGGATTCGGTAAACTATATTGTTCTGGCTAAATGCATCAGTCGGATCTTTTAACCTACAAGGCTTATTTCTAAGCGAGTTTGTGGGTTTAAATGCCACTGTTATACCAACCTTATTGAGAATTTTTCGTAATGCTTCTGAAGTGTCTTCCTTGTATATGGTAACATAGCAGAGGCTTTAAATTCTCTCTCAACTCCGTCACCAATATTACTATTGGTAGTAGGATTGTTATTAATAACACCTATATTATTATTACTACAATTGGTAATATTTCCCTTTCTACTTCTTATGAATTTATTTATAAATTCAGGTGGGTAATTATTCAGACGCAAGGTATTCTTAATGTGTCCAATTTCTTGTCGTAGACTTTCTGGCCTACTAGGCATTTAACTAACCCTACTTTAACTGAGATGGGGTGAGATGAGTTGAAGTTTATCGAATCAACATCAAATACATGCAGTAATAGAAAGGATTCTACACCAATCCCAGATATACAGAAAATTCTACTACCCCTTTTCATCACAAAAAAGGCGAGAGAATTAGAACTATATAAAGCATGTCTAAAAGTTTTGTAGTTATCTTGATATGTGACTATGGGCAATAAATTATACCCGGAACGTCATCCAGTAAATGATACTGTTCCTTCACTGTGTGACATTTCTAATACACAGACTAAAATGTAGTAAATAAACTCAATTTTCCATCCATCATTATATTTCATTTGTTTTTTTTTAAAAAAGGTGAACAAATTATGTAATCAGTCAATATGCTGCAAAAACAAGGGTATAAAACATATCACCTCAATGCAATAACCCTCATAACATTTTACACGGTGACAAAGAAAGATTAAAATAATTAAATCACAGTTTACAAATAACAATACATTGGATAATGATAATAATAGACATATGAAAACTCTGTAAGATACACAATCTAAGTTGTCTGAAGGTTAAGTGTGATATATATACACACACACACACACACACACATCAGATGTACGCAGAACTTCACCTATTCCAGATGTCATACAATGACAAAGTGTCGTACACGTCTAACTTAACAGGGGTTAGAGACACACATAACTATACACACTGTACACATTTCATTGAGTAAAGAAAGAAATTACAAGTGAGTGAAAAACAGAGGCACAGAAAGGAAGTACAAAACTGTCAGCCGAGGACATCGATAACTTGTAAAACTTTGACATAAACCTATACACATAATCAAACATTTTTTTTCTCCAGCAAAAGGGAAAACAAATATCCTTCAGAACACAATGAGAAAGAGTTGTCGCCTTCTAGGCTATTTCTATTGATATATGAGCATATATATATATTGCCTTGGTGTTTGTTTCGAGTGAAATTTTGTTTGTTTGCTTTTCTCAAGACAAATTTAGCTTTCCTTTCTGAATTTAGGAAACATCATTATTTCATTGTATGAAAGACAAAAGTAATAAGGTTGAATTCTAAGTGATTTTTCTTTACATTTTCTAGAATATATGAAATGATAAGATACTACTCAAAGACGCGAGTGGGTGATATCATCATCTATCTATTGTTTTGATGTTTTGATTAAGAAAGAAAAATAAAGTAGCATTTTACGATCAGAAATAATTTGATAAATAGTGTACAACTTCACTTATGCTCTCGCTCTAAGTGTTCCCTTTTACTTTATAGTAGGAAGTGGTGTTAATAGTCAAGATATTAGTAGTATATATGCATTATCCAATAGAATTCCTTATTCTGTTTATTTTCAATCATTTTGTTGTTTCATTTAAGCAAAGAATACAACAAATATTACAAAAAATACAATTAGAACAAAGAACACCTTAATCATAAGCCATCGACTTGAACTGATTGAACGAAAGTAACGCATTAATTCAGAGTGTCCAGCCTCTACTGATACTGCAGCTTCATCAACATTGGCATCAATACGACGAATTGATTCATCTTGTTCTTGTACCTAATCAGATTAGGTGGGAAGAGGAAGAAGTAGAATGCGACACGAATGACGAATTAACTGTCTAAAACATAGTCAAAATGATTTACTCACCAAAAACAATTTAGAATAGCCTATACTAACACAAAATGGTGTAACACACTATAATCCACAAATGGTACTATGGTTGTAAGCCAAGACAGCTGAGTCCCGACCGTGGTGGTCAGGCTTGCATATCACAATGACCCAACGAGCTATACTGGTGGAACATTTGTTCTCTAGAGGTCCTACCATAGACGAAAAGCAGTTACTGTTGTAGTGTAAATTGCTAGACTATGATAGGGGTCTGAGGGCGAAGTCGTACCGCTGCTAGCTGCATGGGGTGTGACAGCAGTAAGGTGTTTCCCTTGGATGACCAGCAGTACCACGCTGATACTGCCTTCTCAGTGGAAGGGTTGGGGGGTTAGAAAAGGTCGACCCTAAAAATAACACTCCACCATGCCCCACGGTCTACCGGGCCGGCGGTGTTGGTTCATTTGTCGTTTCCTTTCGACCATCCCGCCCCAAAATGCAAAAGTTCAAAATAATCATACTCAAAAGAAGAAGAAGTAGAAGGCGACACGAATGACGAGTTAACTGTTTAAAACATAGTCAAAATGATTTATTCACCAAAAACAATTTAGAATAGCCTATACTAACACAAAATGGTGTAGCACACTATAATCCGCAAATGGTACTATGCTTGTAGGCCAAGACAACTGAGTGAATTATAATTATCGAGTGTCAGTTGTTCAAAATCACCCGATACAAGTGTAACTTGAAGTCACTTTCAATTCGAAATGCATAATCGGTCGTTTGAAATTGAACACGAGGAGGAAGCGGTTATCGACATGTTTCCATATGAACTTTCGTCATCTCACATATCCTTTACTTCATAGTTGGGGTCTTGATAAGATTAGAATGTAATCACTTTTAATGCAGAAAGCAAACTGATAGTAAACGGCTGAAAATCCATTCAGTAACCTTATGCAAATTTTTGAAGTAAGCTAGTGACAATACCAGGCTGCCCAAACTTCGGTAGATGCAACGGTTTTAGAACCCATGACCCACTTGGTTGAGTCTCCTTTCTAAACCACTGAGCTAAGGTAACTATGACTACAGTTTCAACATTTTCATCATTCTATACCTAAACAGTCATAAGAAATAAGAACTAATATGAAAACCTTCCCGATGAGAGGCTAAAGATCAAAGGCGATCTAAGAGTCTTTGAGCTATGTACAAAAATGTTTGACTTCCTCCTCAGAAGTCGTATGATAGCCGAAATCGGTGGATTGGAGGTTTCAAGTAATACGACTGTAAATCGATCTCAGTGACGCAGATACCTTCATATGCTTTCTTCATCTTTCTCATGTTTCAAAGTAGTGTTGTTATTCCTGAGCAGTAAGACTCATCACACACCCCTCAGAATAACCGTAGGCATTTATCACCATATTTTACCAGAAAATAACTTTCCTGACAAACGGTAGCATCTAAAATACTTACTCAACAATAGCACTTTCAATATAATATCAACATATACAACAGATCTCCTTCTTCTGAAGTGTTAGTTCGGTTGAGACGATGATCATAGTATAATTATTCATACACTAAGTGTACATTTATTGGTTACTGAAGATGAGTCGATATCATGTTGTTGTCTTGTCAGTTTTAAGTGCTGACTGAATTCTATAGATCATTTTGGAGAATATCTATTTAATACGTTCTAAATATGGTGTTCAGTTCTGTAAATAACATTTCAGTCTGGTGTTAATCTTCAAAGAGGTTTTTGTACAATAGTCAGTAATCACTATGTACACAGTTGGTAAACATATCGATGTCACGTTAAACACCATTACTATGATATCACAGTTTAACATGGCTGTACATGCATACTTATCATTTGCTACTTTGTCTCAGTGTAACTTGACTGGTGAGTGCATCAGCGTAGACTGAACCCGATTGGTCAACTCCATGCTTCTGGTTTCCTCAAACGGGCGAGCGACTATGTGATTGGCTAACTCCTTTTATTTGTTTGCAGTAAGTTGAGGTCTCTTTGGTGTAAGTGATTGGCTCTTTTATTTGACTGAAGTGATGGAGATTGTCTTGCTTTGATTGGTTCACTCGTATTTCTCGAATGCGATGTGCCTTACTTTGATTGGCCGATATGCTGTAAACGAATGGGCGTTCTTGGCTATCGCTAGCTTGGTAGATTTTACTGGAATGAGGCATTCTTTTTGTTTTGATTAGTTGAGTACAGGAGTTTGGTTAGTTACATATTCATTACTGATACCCTTTTCTTCTGTAATAGATTTGTTTCGAACAAATTTATGCACTGTTTCCAGGTCGATATTGTAATTTATTGATAATTCGCTTGACTGCTAGGCCTCGAAGAACTCTTGAGCTGTTTCCGAGCTTGCGCATCTGAGTATTTTGAAATTGTTCCAGTCGGACGTGTGGTTATGATTGTCACAGTGTACTATGATGAGAGACTTCATGTCACGGTGTTTGACAGCTAGCTTGTGTTTACGCAAGTGATGCAATACTGGTTTTAGCTGACTATCACACAGTGGTGTTTGTTATGAATGCAACCAACTTTGTAGATAACGTTGGTCATTTCTTCTTTGTCAAATGGTCTTTTAGATTGTATTGAATATTCTGCAATGGCTTCTTGCTTTATGTGACACTGCAGTTTTAAACGAATACAGCAATCTAGCTGTCGTTTGAGAGATATTCTTGATGTACAGGAGGAGGATTTTACAGTAGACCTTGATCTTTGTTCGGTACCTGGAATCTCGACCTCAGTTGGCAGATGGGTTCCTATGCGGATACTTTAATACTGCCCGGTTACTCAGTATGTTGCATGTATGTTATTGCTTGGTGGCTAGTAGTGGCATCCATCCCTCCTATTTAGGACTCGTCAGATGTATGTACCTGCCTCCCAGTGAGTGATGTTCTCACGGGGACTCGAATCCTGTACCAATCTCTACAAACATCAAAGCGTTCTCCACTAGGTCAGTAGGGCACGAGAGCCACCTCTTGTGCAACGAGTATTCGGCTGACGAGACCTAAATAGGATTTGGTTGATAATAGTAATTCTTTTGTACATTAAAAGCTTCAAGTTGTCCATGATCACTTTCTGCAATCAAGACCCCTGACTTGAATTCATACGACAACACAGCGAGAGTGTGATTCACCTAGACAGACAGTTGACTTTTAACTGGTAGGTTACCACCTGTAGAAACTTTAGGTAGTACTGCTTTCACTGCGTAGTGTACACGAACATGAACATGGTTCTGAACTACAATCAAGTGAAAAATTAGTAATCTGAAGGCCAGTAGATGAGGAGAACATGTGGAAAGGCGGTCCATCGGTTCAGGTACTGCAGTTGTAGTTCATTAGTTTAGATCAGTTGACTTTCAACCAATGAGTCACGGGTTCGAACACTGTTCTGCCTACCACGGCCCGAATAGCCAGGTAGTATCACTAGTTGCCATACAACACGTATGACTCATTGCCTACTGCACAAAAATGCACAAGTTGGCTGAGTACACTTTTTTTTCGTTTCTAGGTACTAGAGTTTCAACTAGTGATCGCTGTATAGTTAATATCTTTCCTAATATTCTGCATTCCAATCGTATTCATATCTCAGTGTGAATTTTCAGATTTAATATTTTATAAAAATTACCATTCGAACTAACCATAGTGGCTAACTGTTGGAAAATCTGTCCCAATTCAACAATTGTATGCTCGATACTCCGCATTGTATCTGCTCGAGAAGCCAAATATGAGTCCGTCTGATCTGAACTGACATATTTTTGAGCAAGTCCCAAATTGGAGTTCGCAACAGGTAAAGTAGGTGGAATAAAACTGCCTAGACCATCTAATCCATCATTCGTTTGATTACCACTTAACAGGGCTTCTCTAGCACGTTCATCATCCTTTGAAAAAGAAAGAAAAGAAAGAAAGAAAAAAGAAAACATTTCATGTCATTAAACGATTAAAAAAAGCCATTCATAACATCCAAAAAAACATTTTGCCTCGGTACACGAGTTGACTAGGCAACAATAGTGATATTTTGATGTTGTGTTCTCTGATCTGGACGGTTTAGTCATCAGGTCATCATCATCATTCTAGATAACATCAGCAGTACAAGCTTAGGGAAGAAGTGACTTATAAGGTTTTCTCCACGATTTACTTGGTAGCTCGTTCTGATGACCCTGTATGTGATTGGTTGTTTCTAGCTTGTTGCCTTCACACTTATTCTGATTGGTTGTTCTGATGACCTGAAATTTGACCTTCTGGTCGTTTCTGATTAGTTGATAGATTGAGTCACTGTCAATATGTCTGTTGATTGCTAACTAACCTGAATACCGAGCTTCTAAAAATTCTCCGGTATTCTTTGTATTTCCTCTATCCAGGATTTTTATATTTTCCCAGTCAAATTAGTGTTCACAGTTGCCTGTATGCATTGATATGAGCGAAGATATGTCATGACGCTTCACCGCTAGTTGATGTTCATGTAGACGGATACGAAGAGAGTGACCACTCTATCCAATGTCGTTTTTATCATAGTATATTTTGTGGACATGGTTTGGTTTGTCTTCCTTTTCTATTGCATCTTTTGGCCTGCATAATAGAGAGTGAAGTGATTTTGTGGGTTTGTGAGACACACCGATACCAAAAGGCTTTAATAATCTAGTCGCGATGTTAGAGACGTTCTTCATGTAAGGTAAAGGTAATCCGTTTGTTGGTTGCTGAGGATGACTTCTTGGTTGATTCCGAATAATGTAAACATCTTCATCAGTTTGACTATCTGAAACAGCTGTGGTTTGGTAGACTAGTATTTATACTGGGTGACAATCGAGAGTGAAGTAAAAATTTGGACCACAGCTAACTCAGATGGTCAAAATAATAATCAGTATGATGCTCCGCCTCACTAATTTAATTAAATTTGGATTGGAATTAGAAGTCCTGACTAGGCAACCCACTATGAATACGATCAAGTGGTAGTAAAGCGTCAAGAATTCACATGGTAGTCGGGTAAAACCCATGGTGACTGAAGTGAAATAAAATCTGGTCAACAGTCGCATTTCATAGCCGTTGGTAGAGCATCGGGCTGGAAACCCGGTGGTCGCTGGTTAGAACCCGGTCGCGGTTCAAATTTTCATTTCACCTTCAATCATTATTACCCAGCATAAACATCTTTTTTGAAGTTGCGTGGGTAGGCCGTTCTCGAAAACAGTCATCAAATAGTTTCCTTCGCAGGGTTGGTGTACAACAATGTGTCTTCGCTCTTTTGAACAATATCATATGCAATGTATTTGCTAGTAGTTCATCTTCATCTTCTTTCTGAGCCAGCTGCTGTAGTAGGACCAACGTGCACAAACCAACTGGTGTAGTAATAACACTTAAGAGAAGCGTTCGACATTCCCCTCAACTAGGAAATCACAGGACCAAAAAGGGCACCCAAAACATGGTTAAGATCAGACACATGAGAGTGAATTAAACACCGAAGGGTTATTTCATTTATTTGAAGTCAAGTTGATCAGCGACGTACCTGGATAAATTCACCTTAGATCAGGTGAATCTCCATAGCTGACTTAGATGAAGAGGGTATGTAGCACAATGAGATGACCGATTACCAAATAATAGTTATGATACTTGTAATTGCCCATTGTTATACAGGGCCGAATTGCTGAACTGTCTGGGTTCGAGTCTCGGTAGGGACGACATCACTCATTAGGAAGCAGGTACATCCAGCTGATGAGTCCCAAATAGGATGGATTCCTCTGTTAGTCGCCAAGATCAGAATAAGATTACCAAATTAATTACTAACTGCATAGTCCACGTTGACATGTTTCCCAGCTGAACTACCTAATTCTTGTATCACAAGGGTCTCCGTTGAAAATTACCCATCCAAGATAATAAAGCGTGTAGAAATTAATCAGTTGGAAACCTTAACTGACCTAGAGGTTTTCCGCACACTGATACTCAGTAAGGCATATCTGTAATCACGAAGAAAACTATTTTCTCTTGGTGATTTGAATTTTTGACCTTGGCTTGACGATTTCCAACGGTAAAACTGTTCACTATAAGTTAGTTGAAAAGCTTAAAACTATTCAGCTATCAGAAACGTCAGTGTGGACCGTTTAATTTGTAAAATTAAATGTAAATTAGACTTAGGACTTAGCTAGCTGCAACGTCATCCGAAACGATTAACGCGAGAAGACTGATTCCCGCATGCTCTGACCACAATGAAAAACGAAAGCAATTTAAACGTAAATTGACCTAGAGTCTTCGCTTGCAGTGGTGGGTGAAGAAAGCCAGACAGATACAGAAGGCATCAGTGGTGGGTAACACATGGCAAATAATCAGGCTTATTAAGGATATCGGCAAGAAAAAAACGATAGCGAGTGAAACCATCACCGAATAGGTTGGAATGCTAAGAAACTCCAACGACAGGAGGCTAGAACGTTTGGCCAGACACTGAAGCACAGTTCCAGTGACCCATAACAATCTTTCAATTGTCCAATATCTAGCATGAACATGACTTGAGCGTAGATGTCGGTTCTCTAACTCTCTTTCAGGTTGAGAGAGGTATATCGAAACTGAAACGACGCGAAGCAACAGAATCTGACAGTTTGCCACTTGGAGTTTTTAGGGATGGAGGTAGTGTTGGTTGTATTACTGCGTCGTTGAATGGGCCGAATTGATCGGTCTCTATTAGCATACGGACTCCTGTGGGATAATACAAGCAACAACATAAAGACCACACCCGTTGCACAAGAAGTGGCTATCATGACTCGGTGGTCTGGTAGATAACGCTCATGGGGTTTGAAGCGGTCGGTCCCCAGCTAGAGTCCTAGTGGGATCGACATCGCTCACTGGGAGGCAGCTACATTCAGCTAACGAGTCCCAAATAGGACGGAACGCACGTTCTGGATTCCACTGTTAGCCAATACCCATCATTATTACAGTATGCAGTATGGAATTTTCACCAGGTTCACTACCAGAACAATATATTCAAAGATTACTGCGTCCGAAGTAATGTTAATAATGGGACTATTAAAGCGAATATTGCTGAACAGTCAGCTGATATTGAATTATCTTCCGATCTAGAATGGAGGATATACAGGAAATCGAACATAAGCTTTGTGGTGACGGTTCATTCAGTCAATACAAGAATCTACCGTTCAAGTTAACCGTCGGATGGGTGGAAATGTGATGAATTTTTGCATAACGAATCCAGTTTGACTATTCCACTTATAATCACGATTTCCATAAAAAGTATGAAAAGATCATCAACTGGATCAATTTGCAACTGATTTATAAATTGTACAGTTCACGTTAACATTTCTCACATATGAGTAGTTTTTTCAACTGCCCAACTGTGGCATCAACAATGTTTCCGCTGGAAAGTACTCAGTCGAGATCACAAGATGTGACCTCTGACACAAAAGTATCATAAACTAGCGAAAGGTACTACAAGTGAACCCCAAACGAGTAAAACGGTCGTCCCTTGGCTGGATCACTTTGAGCTGGCTGGCTGGCGAAATACTATAGAGTAGTCTGAATGGCTTCTAACCACTCAAGTTGTTCAGTACTAATAACTATCATCTGTTGATACCTTAAATGGATCAAGTTTATTTCGAAAAAATAACAAATAGGAAAATGGAGGGAGAATAATGAGACAAGTCTTACTTTTAACAAAACAGAAGGAATGACAACATGCGGCGGCTTTACTGACTGTGTATTCAATGATTCATATGTATCATTAAGTGAGCTATATTTACTCTTTCGAGCATTTTGTGATTTAATATCCTCAGAACGATATTCTAACACTCCACGAAATTGATCAGACATTTTAGCAAGACGAGTCTGTAAAACCATTAGCACAGAATGTGAATGCGTGGTTTGTTGTTTCCCACCAGAAGCCTAAAACCAAAAGAAGTGATATGTGTGAGAAAATGAAAAGAACTCATTCAAAATTCACTACCATAAAAAAATTAGTTTCAATATGAAATCAAATAAACACAATACAAACTATAGGTTATCAGTATTAAACTTGAATAAACTAGAGGTAATGCATCTCTGCCTAGACATACGGACGGAGCAGGTTCGAATCTCCAGAAGAGTGTCAGTTCCATCAGGATTGAAGAGTGGAGTGGAGTTTTGTAAACCGAGACTCACTTGATTGAAAGTCAAGGACTTTAGCTAATGACCCACAATCTCTATAAAAACTAGCTTAGTGTGATCCTTAAATTCATTTACAACGTTTTGTTGATATACTTGTAATTAATTCTCCGTTGTTTTGTTGGATTGAATAGTCCGACCTCTGTTGGTATATGGGCTCTTATGTGAATGCCTCGATATTGACTGAATGTTTATTACGGTAATTTACTTGGTTGCGACTAGCAGAAGAATCCAGGACGCGCGTTCCCTCCTATTTTGGGACTCGCCATCTGGATGTACCTGCACCCCAGTGAGTGATGTTGTTTCCGTCCTGGATTCTTTTGCTAGCCACAAACAATTAAATTAACCTAATAAAAATTCATTTGCCTTTATCGGAGTTAAATTTGTTACACCATCTACGATACTTCACAGTTTACGTAACTGAAAGATTACCATGAATTGCGATAACGATTATAAAACATTCAGACCATAGTTGCTAAGAATGCCTGGAAGAAGTTGAGCGCTAAGCCTGACTCAATCATTATAAGATTATATTTTGATATAATAGCAGTGTGTTTAGAAAATTAAAAAAGGATTCCCCTAAATATTTAGCTGTGTGATCAACAGTTTTTCCAGCAGAATACGTTATATATATATATATATATATATATATATATATATATATATATATATATATATATATATATATATATATACATATATATATATATATACTGCTGAAGCTGTGGTTTAAACAACGAAACATTTAGAAAAATCCTGTTTCGGCTTTTTAAACACACTGGAATTACAATAAAATATACTCATAATGGTTGAGATAATGAAATGAACATATGAAGCTCACTAGAACTAATGGTTTGTTGAATAATGCTCTTAGCTCTTAACCACTCGGCTATATATAGTTCAACTATGCCCCACCAATTGAGATTTCGGTAACAAAGCAACATCATTCTACTAGCCTTAACATAGTATACGTGCCTCACGGTATATGAAAGGAAGTTGTAAATGGTTTATAAGTTCCAGTTCTATTATTATAAAGTCTAACTCAACACAACTACAGAATGATTCAGTCGTTGAATTATTATTATTTATCTTTTAGGTTCCTAGTGGAAAATAGGGCTTCAGTAGCACGTCACCACTTCACTCTCTTCTCTGCAGTCCTTTTAACTTGGCTCCACCACTGCCCAGAAGCTTTCATTTATTCCTCACACGATCTCCTCCATGTCACCCTCACCTCGGATGCTCAAACTAGTCGTTTCCTTTTTGGATTCCACTCGACGGCCTAGCTTGACGCATGATGTCCCCAAATGGTTTTCTCAGTGTATGCCCAATCCAATCCATCTCCACTTTCTTCCGTATATTTTTTGGGCGAAGGGTTCTTGGTTGGTTCGTTGCCAGGCCAGAATTCCCTGTTGCTTATTCTTTCTGGTCACCTGATATTCAGTATCAAGCGAGCGTAGGCAGTTGTTGATGTGATGTATGTCTGTAGTTTGCTGGGAATAATTTTCGTAACGCGCCAAGTTTCTAAACTATCACATAGAAGCACTGACTTGACTGAATTAGTGTTGAAAATCAGGATCTTGTTTTTTATGTTGAGTGCAGTGTAGTAGATTTTCACACTGATTATTTCAGACTAATGAAGGTCTGTCTTGCTTTTCCGATCCTGACTGGCTTTGACATCATCTGTGCCACCTGTAGATGAAACGATGATGCCTAGGCAGACAGGTAGGTGAAAGAGATGACTTCCTTTAGGTTTTTCCCGTTCACGGTGATTGGTGCTTGTTGTTGTTGGTTGGGTATCTTCATCACCTGTCTTCTCTACATTCACTTGAAGTTCCATCCTCGCTGCCCTGCCCTTTGTGTCAACTTGTTGGGTTTTCCCTGTAGATCTTCGAGTTTGTGCGATATTAGACATAAATTATCGGCGAAATCCAAATATTCTTCTGGGGACATTTCATCGGTCAAACAGTGTGTGCCTCTCTTTTCACAGCTCCTCAGAGTTCCATCCATGATCCCAGTCCATTCCAGTCGATCACAATAAGGAAGACCATCGGTGATAGTAGGTGGCAACCTTGTGTCACTCCTGTCTTCACTTCAAAGGTATCACTGAGGTTCTCATTGTCAATCACTTGGCATGTAGCATCATATAGTACATAGCTGGTGTTGAATGGGGTTGGTAAAGGTTTATGGCCCTGAAACCGTAGTTTTGAAGCGAGCGCCTGCCAAATTACTTTTCCGTGGACTCTATCAAACGAATGCCTTTTCAAAATCGATGAAGTTGAGTTAGAGTTGAGTGACATTCTATGCTCTGTTCTATGATGATGCGTAGCGTTGCAGTCGTTGAAGATGAATGACAATTGAAAACCAAGCAGTCATTTAAGTTTCCACCTGTTCTCAGTAAATAAGTACCGACTAATCACAAATATATATCCTTAGAAACAGCTCAAATTACCTAAGATACTTGTTACTTCAAGAATTTGTTGATAAACACTATCTACAAAAAGGAAATAAAGCTAAACCTACCTGAGATTTGGCAATCTCTTGTAAACTAGCAATCCTATTATTCAGATTCGCCATAGATTCTTTAATAACATAAGTTAAATGCTGAATTTCAGAACTATGATCATCGAATAGTGTTTGCCTTCGAGCCAATGCATTTAACTGTTCAAGTTTACAGAATGTACTTGCTAAATCTTGACTGATTACTGAGGCTGCTTTCATAAATTGAGAACGTTGACTAAGAACAGTAGTTTTATTCAACGAATAATTTTGAGTAGATTGAAAACCATTTGGAATATATGGTTTATGTGAGAAATTTTTATCATCTACAAAACCATTAAGATTAGGCTTCGATATTTCAAATGAATTGAAGTCGACAATATGATGATTTTCAGATAAATCATCTTGATGCTTAATGTCACTTAACTTAGAGCGACTAAGTTGTACAGAACGGATGAAATCTGAAGTACGATCAACTGCTGAACTCATCTGAAATGAAAAAGAAAATTACAAATTAGTTGAGGAAGCAATAAGAGTAACAAAAACAATAATAATAGGATCATTTTATATCATAAACCCATCTTACTTATAACAAACTCTACTGCTGTAAAAAATAAAATAGGTAATTGAAGTTAAACAACTAATATATATATATATATATATATATATATATATATATATATATATATATATATATATATATATATATTCCATACTACCTCTACCAATCAACTATTGACGTAAGTATATTGGCATGGGATTTATGTCTTCTATTCCGCTAACCATCTATTTTTCTATATGACACTAGAGGAAAACTTTTACCACAAGGCTTACACTTGTTATCAATAGTGTGGTAATCGGAGAATGACTGCACTTGAAACTTGAGATTTTCGTCTAGGATATCGAATATAACTCACAAATGGACTACCCAAGATTTCCACATTTCATAAAAGCGTACAGAAGAAATGAAAAAAACAAAAAAAAACAATAAGGTAACGGAAAAATGAGAAATAAAGTGATGCATGATGTAAAGTTGTTAATTAGTACTTAGTTGCTGAAAGGCATTTTTCATTAACGATTAGTGATAACCGTTACTCATACAGCTGGAACTAATAATTTCACTCGCGGATCATTCAAAAGTTTCTACTTTCCGACTCTTAAACTTTTATACTCACACCCTAAGAAATAAATCGAAGGAAATAGAAAAGAATGGAAGTTAAGATTCCTACAAGGTTGTAAAAGCAAGAAAAGTAAGACAAAAATGAATTTTGTACGATCCTGAACTATATCAAAGGATAAAATTACCAAGATTTTTGACAAAGTATGGATACATTTACACCACGAAGATAAGTCAAGTGACTTTAGTAGAAGAAAAACAAATCTTATATCACACAGAACGCCTTAATATTATGTAGCGTCTTCAGATTTTAAGTCCCACACCAGTAATGAGGAGACGGTAATGATTAAAAATCTTAATGATTCCCATTATTAAAGTGAGAATAAGATATGAAGGTGGAAACATTGTTTTAAATCAGATTCTAATCAAGCTTTACACATCATCTTTATTACAAGTACTGTCATCATAATTGTTACTGTTATTACAATGATTATTGACAATACTGTTACCTGTATAACTTGAAATATTCATCGTTGACTGAAAAATTATCACCACAAAGAGAGACAGACGGAAAACTACTGGCATTAAAATGAAGTCTAGGGATGACCTAATTGAAGAACATCCAGCAACTGTGACTTTCTCATGTGATCCATCTTTTCTGAGATCTTGAAATAATTTTTCGATACAGTTCACCGATAGGTAGACAATATCCTATCTGTTCTCCTGTATGGCTGTGAAACATGCCCATTGAAGGTGGAAGACATGAGAAGGCTGGCTTCAAGTGTTTGACCACCGTTGCCTTCGTAGTATAGGACGTATTCCGTGGTGTCACCGCACCACGTGAGTAATGCAGAAGTCAGGCTCAGATGTAGAGTTTTACGGAGGGAGAAGAGGTAAGTCAGTTGACGAGGTTATGAACCTTCATCGACTGAGATGGTTGGGACGCGTACTACGTATGCCTAGTCACCGATTGCCTCGTCACACAATGTTGGCTGAAGTAGGTCCAGGCTGGGAAAAGGCCCGAAGTGACCAGACTAAAACATGGCACCAATGTATGAAGTCTCTAACTTGGTCTAAGCCATGTGGGGCGATGCAGATTAGGTGCTTAGGGTCGGCGGGACAAGCGGAACCAGTGGTTGGAGACTCTAGGGGATATGGCTGAGAACCGATGTCAGTGGCGCAGATGTATACACACATTATCGTCATTTTAACGACGCTATACCGAATCTCACCATTTTGTCATTCTTCCTTTCTTTCTTCTTGTGCTTAATATTTCTTTTGACTGCATTCTCTTATCTTCATCCTTCACCTCACTACCTTTCTACTTGATGTAATGATATGAGCTGTGGTAAATAGGACCGTTACGCAGTAATGCCTGGTCCTATGTTGATATTGATGATGATGAGACAATATCAATACTGGGACCTGGGAATCTCGGGTAACGGTCCAATTTTCAATAAGTTACATGAGTACATCAAAATACAATGCAGTAAGGTCGAAGACAGAAACCTTGGAAGTACGATAGAATGTTGTAGAGATAAGTGAGGAAAAAAGGAGGAGATAGTAAAACAAATAATGAAGTGTGATATGATGCATAGGATGATGATATGTGAAATCATCTGCACCAATGAGATCGATTAACAACCACATCACCTGAGTCTCTAACTACTGATTCCCGCTAACTAGCCAGAACTATTGCATTCCAAGCCATGATCATATGTGATTTCTGAGACACATACAAGATCCAATTGTGGTTAGTCACCTGATCTTACCTAGCCAATGTAGGGTCTGCTAAAACATCTTTCAAGCATATAAGTACCTCTGAGCTAGTTCTATGGGTCTTACAAGCCCATGAATAAAACACAGTCCTGATTCAGAAAGCGTACCACTAGACTGAATCTGTGGTAGTTGTTTGCGAACTATTTAGCTGGATGATAGCGTAGGATCACTAGTTAGGTTGGTAATACAGGTCAACCTTCTTCACATTTTCCGCTTATGCACAAAATTGACTGCTGTTGGAATGAAATGAAAGATCAGTTTTAATAAACTTCGTCTAGCCTCAAAGCCAAAACGTTCAGATGCGGTTGCCGTAGTGAGTGTCTTTAATTTACAAGAAGGAAAACTAGGGCAGACAAAGACACCTAAATGCAACTTTCAGCATCCCCACTAACAGAATCGACAAAGGTTGTCGCTTGCTACAACTAGCTTAGATAACCATCTATTCCTGCCCAGTATTAATTTCAGATAGAAAGACAGAAACTATCTGAACTGACAGTCACCGACACCAATTTATCTATACAAATAGACTATATTAATATTAGTTACCACTACAATCTGAACAAGTTCCACACATTCTGCAGCACATGTCTCTCGACCGATGGCTGCTACCTTGACGTGGTGGTCAGGCTTGCATATCACAATGACCCAACGAGCTATACTGGTGGAACCCTTGTTCTCTAGAGGTCCTACTATACCAGAAAGGTCTGTTGGATAGTGGTTAGACGAAAAGCAGTTACCATCGTGGTGTAAATTACTACACTATGATGGGGGTCTGAGGGCGAAGTCGTACTGCTGCTAGCTGGATGGGGTGACAGTAGTAAGGTGTTTCCTTTGGATGACCATCAGTGCCATGCTGATGCTGCCTTCTCAGCGAAAGCGGGGGTTTAGAAAAGGTTGGTCCCAAAAATGACACACCACCGTACCCTATGGTCTGCAGAGCCGGCGGTGTTGGTTCATTTGTCGTTTCTTTTCGACCATCCGGCCCCAAAAATACAAAAGTTCAAAATAATCATACACAAAAGGCCGTGTGACAGGCCTCAAGCAGATGTCCGATGGGCTCTGCGGTCTCACAGATCTCTTTCAGGGTACCTTTAGAAGAAATAGCCTTCCACGGTGTGGGCAGCCGGGAAGTTTCGACCGCCCTCACAACTCTGTCAGCACTCAAGTTTCCTCAGACTGCTATCCACCTTCCCCTCCATTACCTCCTAATCTTCCTTCACGTCTCTCAATTAACGATGCTGCATCACCTTCAATTTCTCCTACCTCTGTAGCCTTCGACAACGATCTTAGTCCATAGAACAGCATCACTGGTCTCCTTAAACCACGCTCCAAATTACATATTGGAGCCTTCAATGTCCGAACCCCCCGTCAAATTGGTCAACAGGCTTCGTTGGAAAAGACTCTAGCAACTCGAGCCATGGATGTGTGCTGTTTTTGTGAGACACACATACAGGACCCAAGTGTGGTTATTCACCTGACCTCTCCCGGCCAATCTGGTGAATCTGTAAAATTCACCCTTCGAGGTTCTGGAGATTCGACAGCTAGCTCTCGCGGTCTTGCAGGTGTAGGTATAGCATTAAGCATTATGGCAGAAAACTTACTACTAGACTAGATCCCAGTTGATGGTCACCTCTGTGCTATCCGACGGATTGGCACAGTGAGAACTAAAAGGAATAGTGAGACTCACCGTTGTAATCTCTGCTTACGCACCCACTGACTGTAGTTCGGATGAAGTGAACGACGAGTTCTACCGCAAACTGTCTAGCCTGCTCTCAAAACCCAAACGGTCGGACGTGGTGGTTGTTGCAGGTGACTTCAATACATAGGTGGGTAGACTGAGTGAGACAGAAAGGCATTAAGATGACACTTTCGGAGTCCCGGCTGAACGTACAGATAACGGTGATCGCCTACTTCAACTGTGCCCAGATAACTGCCTATTTTTAGCTAGCACAAATTGCAGACGGAAAGAAAGACACCGTCTGAGATGGCGTCTACCGAGCTTAACTCAGCGACGGACACAGATAGACCGCATTGCTATTAGTTATCTGTAGAAGACTGTCGCTCCTTTTGAAGTCAATCAATCAATCAATATCAACATAGGACCAGGCATTACTGCGTAACGGTCCTATTTACCACAGCTCATATCATTACATCAAGTAGAAAGGTAGTGAGGTGAAGGATGAAGATAAGAGAATGCAGTCAAAAGAAATATTAAGCACAAGAAGAAAGAAAGGAAGAATGACAAAATGGTGGGATTCGGTATAGCGTCGTTAAAATGACGATAATGTGTGTATACATCTGCGCCACTGACATCGGTTCTCAGCCATATCCCCTAGAGTCTCCAACCACTGGTTCCGCTTGTCCCGCCGACCCTAAGCACCTAATCTGCATCGCCCCACATGGCTTAGACCAAGTTAGAGACTTCATACATTGGTGCCATGTTTTAGTCTGGTCACTTCGGGCCTTTTTCCAGCTTGGGCCTACTTCGGCCTACTTCCTTCTGGAGTATGTGTTTGGATAGCGACCACGTGTTGGTCCGAGCGCGTATATGTCTGCCTCTCAATGGACGTAGGGGAAATTTGGCACCAAAACCACTACGAGTGCTGCTGGACAACGAAAACACAAAAGCCATGTTCAGTGAGTTGGCTAGGCAGCTGTCGGAACAGAAGACTATCACTCATCCAGAAGAAGCTTGGCGCTATCTCGAGACTTCTGTAAAAGCAGCGATGTAGACCGTAGCCGACTCCAAAGTAGTGGTTAAAAAGAGCCAGTGGATATCAGCAGCTTCTATTGAACTAATGGACGCACGTGAACGCATCCCTGCAGGCTCTGAGTACAATGAAGAGAGAGTGCAAAATTAAAAGTAGATTGAGAAAACATCTACGCAACTAACGTGAACAGTGGTAGGCAGCAAAGGCTAAAGAGATGGAAAAGGCAGTGGTGATTGGTAATAGTAGACAGTTATTTAAACTTATTAACGTAACGGGGGGGAAGGTCAACAACTGTTAGTGAGACTATAGCGGAGGACGGGTCTGCGATTCACTCGCAGCACGCTTTAGACTCGGCCGTGGGTGTATCAGCCAAATATTCACTCTGCGCCAGGTTTTTGAGCTTACCGATGCCTAACAATAGCTGTATTTCTGGACCTGAAGACGGCACTCAACTCCGTTGATCGAGAAGTCTTATGGCAATGTCTCTCACTGAAAAGCGTGCTGAGTAGGTACATCACCTTATTGAAGGCTCTTTACTCCAACACTTGTGGGCGTGTTGGAGCCTATGGTGAGATGTTCAGGGAGCTACGCTCATCGAATGGTGTCCGTCAAGGGTGCCCACTCTCTCCATTCTTATTCAATTTCATCATAGATATTCTTATGGAGGTCTCCCTCTCGTCACCTGGTTACACAGAGGTTGACCTAATCACAGGAGAATTTTCGTTAGACCTAGAATATGCAGATGACATAGTCCTGTTAGGTAAAGACGCTGACAAGATGCTGAGTTTTCTGAACATTTTGAGTGGGAATTTGAGAATGTTTGGGATGCGTTTCTCACCACCCAAATGCAAATTGTTGCTGCAGGATTGGTCTTCAACGGTGCCACGACTAAAAATAGGGAGTGTAGTGGTTGAGTGTGTCGACCACTTCACTTACCTGGGAAGTGGAGTCAGCCCTGGCGGCTCAGTGGCCGATGAGATCTCTACACGGATACAAAAAGGCTCGGCTGGCTTTCGCCAACTTACCCCACCTGTTGCACCGCCGTGATGTCCGACTGTTTACTAAGGGTCGCGTGTACTGCACAGCAGTCTGCTCTGTTCTGCTGTACGACTGAAGTAACGGTCATTGAAGGTGGGAGACATGAGAAAGCTTCACATGAATTTTGACTCTACATATAACTGCTTGAACATCAACAACACATCTTCCGTAGCATGTTAGTGCTCACTTCTTAAGATTTATAGGAACTAGTATGGGTAGCAGATCAATTAAGATAGCAGTCAGCACACACAATGCCATCAGTATAGTGAGTGGAGCAATAAGTTCCAAACAGGTGAAAGATGTCGATTTACAGGCAACCAACATATGAACTGATGCCCGTATTGGAAGCTTACCGGTAAAAGATGTTGAGCAACAGGTTGTGAATCCAATGACAAATCCCTCAACGCAAGATCACACGCGGTAAATGTAGGGCTAAGGGAAAGAGTACCAGGTGCAGATGCGGAAGCAGATGCCGGAGGCGATAAGCAACAGGTAAGAGTTTTGTGCAAACTAAATTGAGTGAAGTAGCCCGGTAGTTTCTACTTTTACACCAGTCTTTGACAAAGTACTGGCCCTACATTTATTGCATTTCAGTCCGCGTTCCTGCAGACTGGGAATCCCAAACCACTATTAACAAGGAATAGAAGTCAACTTCCAATCACGATCGTGACACTCTCGCAAAAAGAGACTGATTAGTCAACCCTCACCTGCACGTTTTTATACACCTTGAAATTTCACATACTTTCACACTGTAAAGCGCACACATTGAACTTTTAGAATGCAAACAACAAGCACGTACAATTACCTAAGCTATTAAACTGACGTTATAACCTTGTAGCGTAAAATTTTTAAACTATGTATCCAGAATCCAACATATCCAATATCTTTTTAACGAGCTTGTGTAAACCAGCTGGTTTCTTCTTGCTCGCTTCTTGGTCTTGCGGAACGGACCTAGATCTTTGGCGGATTCCGATGCAATACATTCAGCCACTCATCTGCTATAGCTCCGATTTACAGAACAGGAAGTTAAGTGTTGGTTCGTTTGCCGTGGACTGTGGTGCAGTTGGCTTCTTCAGATGTCGAGTTGCCAGACAGTTGTTCGGACCGGTCGCTAGAGAGGGTTCGGGATATTGGAGATAAACCCCAGTAAGTGCCTGTGTGAGTAAAAGAGGAGAAGAAAAGTGAACTAATGGAGTAATCTCCTTGCACCCAAATAAGGTGAGTAGGGGTGCAAAGGTATGAAGAACTTCAGTAAGTGGGGCTAACTTATGTCAAGTGGAAGGGGTAAAAAGGGCATAAATGGTTACAATAGAGAGAAAACTGGTCGGGGTGGCTTGACATCACTTCGTGTTCCAGCCATATGAGTCTCTGAATGACTGTCTAGCCTCTTCGTGAAGCTTTCAACAGTTGGGGCGGAGACCACCTCGCTGGTAGTGCGTTCCAGTACCCGCAGACTAGAAGGGGGGAGAGCTGTGAACATACGTGTGTTTTTGATCCTTGGTGGGCTATTCTGTTGGGGTTTCTTCGAGGATCGCCACAGTAGCCACTCTGTAGAATTCCTCCAACGGGTGACCTGGGTTACTCAGTATTTTGTAAGCCACTAATAAGTCGCCTAGTTACCTCCGGTAGCTTAGGAAGTATAGGCCTAGGTCTTTCAGTCGGTCCTCATATGGTTTTTGTTACATTCCAACAACCCCTTTTGTAGCTCGCCTCTGGACTTTCTCCAGTAGGTTCGGGCCTCTTTTAAGCTGTGGTGGAGTGAGGACGTTATGGACCTCTGAGTGGGGCCGTAAGTAAGTTTTGTAGAGCTTCAGAAAGAGTTCTGTGGTGAGGGCACCTAGCTGTCTACGCACTAAGTGTAGTAAACCACATGCTTTTGAGGCATCACCTGGGTAATTGTAACTAGTGCCCGGTTTCTCCGTCACCGTTAAATCAAGGTGTTTTCTACTGTGGCATGGGATAGACGTGAACCACGCAGATAGTGGGATGTTTTCTGGGGATCAGGAGTGCAGAAAAACAGGGACTGGCACTCATCCAGGTCAAATACAAGTTCGTTATTAGTTCCCCACTCCTCTAGTGTTTTGAAGTCATTCTGTAATGCCAAGGATTTCGCTTCGCAAGTTATTGCCCTCCATAATTTGACATCATCAGCGTGCGGGGGAATCGGGGGGCTGATATGTTGCGGCGGGTCACTTACGAACAGTAGGAACAACAGTGGACCCAGGATTGCTCCTTGTGAGACACCGGATGAGGATGTCCTCCAAGTTGGGTAGACCCTGTTGACTTTCTTGCAGAACTCCCTGTTGTCTAATTAGTTCTGCAGCCTCGTTAGCACCTGGCTGCGAATACCCAACCCAGCTATCTCATGTATTAGGATCGTGTGTGAGACGGTGTCAAAGGCTTTGGCGAAGTCTAGAAAAATTGCGTGGACAGAGATCTTGAGATCCCAGCATGCTGTCTAGTGATCATGGGCCGTCAGGAGGTGGGAGGCACACAACCTACCCTTCCGGAAGCCATGTTGAGCGTCACTGGGTGCTTGTTTTTTGTCTAGATGTTCCCGATATGGTCACCCATCACATTTTCCGTAACTTTTGATATTACTGATAGAAGCGCTATGGGTCTACAACAGTTGGGATTCTGTCTGTCTCCTCCTTCGAAGATGGGAGAAAGGATAGCCCGTTCCCATCCGCGTGGGAGCTTTTGTTCATCCAAGGAGTGTTGGAAGATAATACAGAGTTGGCCACTTAGGGTACTTGCACATTCTTTCAACAAAGATGGGCGGATGTCGTCGCACCCTGGGGATTTTCCCGTGCTTAGCTTTGATAGCTAATCGAGAATAACAGCGCGAGTTATCTGTATTTCGTGTAACTCAGCAGCATCGGGTAACGTTGAGGGCTATTCGTGCAGTTGGTTCGAGCACTTTCTTGATGGAATGTTGAACTGTGTGTCAAATGTGTTGCTCAGCATTTCAGCAATCTCCTGTCCAGAGGGGTTTTCTCCGTTCGAACCTTTTATGACGCATGCTCCTTGGCTTATCGATTTTCTCTTCGCCATGAATAGGTGAAGGTTTTTGGGGTTTATCCCAAGCCTTTTGGCGAGGTAGGACTGCAACGACCTCCCGTCTCCCCGCATCCTGTTGTTGCTTTGGTTCCGCAGATTCATGTATGCGCCGTGATCGTCCTGTTCTCTGGAGAGTCTCTACGTGTACCATGCCCTTCTCTTGGCTATTAGAAGGCGCTCAGTGCCCCGTTTTCACCATGACGTTCGCTTTCTGGTTGTTGTTACCGCCGAAGGGACGTCTTGCGAGATGGCCGCCCTATTGATATCTTTTACCAGTTCCCAGTGCTGGTTGATCGATAAGGAACGCCAATCCACTGGCCATGGGGCTGTTGATTTGCCTTGTTGTAACACAAGTAAAGGCGAGGTCCCTCCCATGATAATTTTTTACTGATTACCAGGTCGAACATTACCATAGCGTGATCACTACTTCCAGGAGGAGTTTGTACCTGAGCGTTCTCAACCAGGAGGGTATCACTAGTCAGTAGGTAATCCAGTTTGGATGATTTACCATCTGACCCCTAGAGCGTGTTGTCGTTGATTTTTTCGTGCAGTCCAGCCATTTGGATGGTGTTTAGCAGGTTATGGTCTAACTTCTGGCTCGTGGTCTTGCCATCTTTCTCTTGCCTGAGGGTTTGAGCTTTAAAGTCGCCAGCTATTAAAATCTGGTCGTACCCTATAGTTGACGCTGTGGATATTACTTGCAGTAGTTTTTGGTTGTGTCCCAAGTTGCTACCAGGGGACCTATAGATTCCTTCAGCCAGGAATTTGGTGTGTTTGACCGTGAAGTGGCACCAGACGGAGTCTGGGAGCTCTGCCAGCACCTTGTTAGTGGTTTGTTCACTTCTGAACCACTTGTTCACGCATATTGCAACCCCCCCTCCTTCCGTATGTTCTCTGTCTCTCCTGAACACAATCATGTCATCAATGCTAACTTCGGTGTCACTTATGTCTGATGACAGCCGTGTTTCTGTCAGGATCATGATCTTCGAGACGAGGTCGAAACAGGGGGATCGGAGCTCTGACGTTTTACTTCGGAGTCCTCTCATGTTGCTATAGAGACACTCGGAGGTGCTTCTCGTAACGTGAGATGTCCCTGGATTAACTAGTGGCACAGGTTTGGATATGGGGGTTTCTACTGGCCGACCAGTTTCAATGGAACTGACCCAGTTAAGCTTTTTGCCGCGTCGACTGGTGCATTCGGTGTTGAGTGGAGGTTGCTGGTCTGACCATCAGCGTTTCGATTTACGGTTACGGTGTCCTGAGCACAGGGCGAAACTGCTGTCCGTTGTTGTCTCAGTGTTCTCTGTCTGCTTCTGCAGTAGCGAACGTTACCGCTTATGGTGCTTTTGACTTTGTGCCACGTCTCCAGCACTCTGGTGAGGACTTGTAGGGATTCAGAGTTGACAGCCATTTCTGTAGGCGGGGTCACAGTTGTCAGATGCGAGGGGACAGGCAGCCTGCCAATTGCCTCAGCTGCAACCCCGCTCAGCTCCATCGGAGCCGATCACCCCTCCCATTGTTTGATGTCATGTGTGTACTTATCACCTGGGGTACCGGTCACCATTTCAGGTATTCCATGTACGACCACGGTTGTGGGTTTTAGTGGACCGGCTGCTTCTCGAGACGTCTTTCTTGATACCCATAATCGGTCAGGTCTAGCTCTAATGTTAGAGGATCTGTTGATGACCAGGGTGTATGACAGTAAGAGGGACCTTTCAGCGTCTCTCGTCGGCAGAGGCTTCCCTGTGAGCGAGTGGGTGCTTTTGTGCAGTCGACACAGTTTTGCCTCGAGAGCGCCCAGACCTAGCGTGACACAAGGGGAGTCCAACTGCCTCCTGTCAAACTTTTCCCTATGCTCCAGAAGGTTATCATCACGGACGGGAACGTTAAACAGAATGAAAGAACTAGATCGGTCATTGATGCCATTGTTATTCGACCCTATAGGTGCGTTTCCACGGATGCTTCGAGCTTTTTTCTCCACTCTGACCCATCTCCTATAAAACAGTACATAACTTCCAATTTTCAGTGGCTTTTTACGGGCTCGTGTAAGCCAGTTGATTTGTTCGCGCCCGCTTCTGGGTCTTGTGGAACGGTTCTAGGTCTCTGGTGAGTTCCGATTCAGTAGGTCTACCCATTCACCTGCTGTGGGACTGTTAAGCTAAATGGACGGTTATGTGCTGACTAAGTTTGCGGGGACGGTATGACTTGTCCAAGGACTGTGAGGCGTATGGGTTCGTTGAATGTCTTGTCACAAAACAGCAGATAGCACTAGTTTCAAACAGAAGATAGAAAAGATATCCAGCGAAACCAAGGGAGAGGAAGTGAGAAGAGAAAAGCTGAAAGGAAACGGGACGGAAGCAAAGGGGAAACGCTGGTAGATTCATGGGAGATAATCGTGATAGGGAGAAACTGGGTAGATAAGGTTGGATCAGGGAGTCAGAGGGAGGGGGAGGAGCAAGTAGGATTGTTGAAAGTATCTAGGAAACAGGAATGGCAGTGTTATTAGTGGGACCGTCGTAACTGGAGGCAAGAAGCCTAACAGGGGGGCATGAAGTTTGGTCTAGTTCGTGATGATAGAGGCAGTACAAAATATTCCGCATGGGATTGACCGTGCTGGATTGTGCGAAGTCATTAAGTGGTTCCAATACAGCCCACGTCCCAGCGGGATGAGCTTAAGATGCGCGTCACTGCGTAGCCGTCCAGACCCTTCTTGAAGCTATTTACGGACAGAACATTAGTGATGACGACAGGCAGTCCGTTCTAGGGGCCACGAACCTAAGAAGAAGAAAAGTATGAGCGGACATA